ATCACCAGGAGGAGGAATTCGAGAAATATCAGGAGAGCAGAAGGTTTTAACTGGAAGGCAACTCCGATCCGTCGCATCCTCTTTCAATAACTTGAACCTGATCAAAGGTTATTTTGTGCCACTTGGTTTGCCATGTGTGCGTTGGTGTCACTGTTGGAGAATACAGATCTTAGTTGCCTCATATATATAGTGAAGTGACAAGCAATAAAGTGCAACAAATACGCAAATTTAACGTGTCTTGTTCTCGACTACCATTATCTTAATGTAGGGATACATTAGGAAAAATGTAAGTAAAATTTATAATTTCAACATATATTAATTAAGTTTTCTTAATAGGATCAAATCTTTCTTTATACGATGGAGGGAGTATTTATTTTTTAATTTGTGTTTGTGTTTGTGTGTTTTGGAAAAGTATGTGTGGAATAAAATATAGTAACGCAACGCTACAATTGAATTTGAAAAGAAAAGGTGAATTGATCCAAAAAATGGAAAATGAAGTGACCCGCCGGTAGAGATGGCAATCGGGCTCGCCGGCTAGGGGCTCGGTAGACCCGAGCCTAGGCTCGGGCTGAGCCCCATTTTGGGGACACGGGCTTTGCCCGAGCCGGCCCGTGAGCTCACGAGCTTTTTAATATAAAAAAAAAATAATAATAATAAAATATTAAATTTAAGGCTTAAAAGGCAGCAGCAACAAATCAGCAGATTAGGGGGGAAAAAAAAAATTGGAGAAAACGAGCCTGCCCGGCTCAGCCCGTAAAAAGTAAGGAGCAAAAGCTCGAGTCGAGCCTATTTTTTTCGGCCCGATTTGAGCCTGCAAAAAAGCTCGACCATTTTAACCGGGCCGAGCCCAAGCCGAAACTTTAGGCTCGCGAGCCGGCTCGGCCCGGCTCATTTACATCCCTACCCGCCGGCTACGTTAAGGTCAATTTTAGCTATTGAACAAGAGAGTCATCTTGCTCTTTCCGTAGTGGGTTGTTCCATAATCTCTTCCGTGGGATGTTCGATTGAGAAATTTAGACATGTTGATATACACTAGATTGTGAACGAAAATTGAAATCTTTTGACTTTTGTAAATTAAATTTAAAAGTCTGTTAAAAACATCAATGACAAATTCAAAATCAATATCTCAAATCTCCTAACTCATCATCAATTCATGGTTACAATAGTTAGTCCCGGTTAGGGGCATCAAATGGGGCTCGGCTTGTTTACCGTCAAGCTTGCGAGTCCCTCGTAGCTCATCAATTTTCATTTATTATTATTATTATTTTACTGAAATAGTATATTTTATTCATTATAGCGAGCTGCCTTGCTAGCCAACTTGTACAAGTCAACGAGTGGCACGTACGAAAATTTGTGCTTGACTAGTCTCACTTAACATCTCTCGTTCTGGCACTATTATTGATTTGCTATTATTTTCCAGCACCGTTTCTTGAAATTTCTTGCTTCTTTACCAGTTTTTAACAACTAAGACAAGATCTGTATGAAAATAAATAAATAAATAAATTATGGTAGTTAAAATTTTTTGAAACAAATACCATGAGATGGTGAACAAGATGTGTACAGGTAATTATGACACACTTAAGGAACAAAACATATACCTAAAACTAAGTCAATTTAGATTCAAAAAAAGAGGACGATGTACTTGCTATAAATAAATCAAATGATGATGTGAATGCTCATATAATTATCCAATTAAAACACAATGTATTTGCATGTCATATGTCTGAATAATTTTAAGGGCTGCAAACTATTGTTGTCCGAAGACCATTTAATTTTTCATTTTGTTAAGAAAAGCTCAAGTGGATAAGACAATAATACTGAATACCCCCAAATAAAATAGATGGTGATGTAAATATGACTCTTTTTGGTTCAAACTTCATGTTCGTGTACAAGCCGAATATTATATAATTTGATGTACTTGTTTATCTCACGTTTCTATATATTGACGTTCGATCAATAGGTTTAAAGCAGTGAACCTTATACCTACTACAAGCCAAGCAATTAGGAAGAAATGCAACACTGCTCAACGAGTGGGTCTAACAGTCAAACTTCCCTCCGTCTTTGCACTCGAGGGCCAGTCTCCGTCCATATTTCATAAAAATATAAATGAGTGTTTTATTTGACTTGTGACGCATTATTTTTCGATTTAACTTCTAAGTTGGCTAGATACAAGGATTCGAAGTTCTCAAATTCTATTGAAACGTAATAACATTATACGAGTATATGCCACTTTTCCTTTAATAAGTCAACTTTTTAAAGCCCACTGAATTACCACGTCGTTAGATTAAAATTATTAAATAGAGGAGTTTTTTTTTTTTCAGAATCCAGTCATATGTTTCGTCTGCCTTTTTTTTTTTGGATAAAACTAATGAATCAATGTCCACTCGTTAGGTCTATAATTTGTGAGCAGAAATCAGATTAAATGCATGTATTTACTGTAATTTTTACCTTCCAAATTAAGTTATTATAGAAACATTTATATTTCTACTACGTCTTTCAAAATTATGCTATACAATTTTTATTAATATAATGATATTTATCTCCATTAATCTCCATTAAAAACGATAATGATTATGTAACTTGACACGAAATTATATGATTAATTAAATATATCGATATAAGATTCAATTTACTAATTTTAGTATTTAACTCCACAAAGGTGCGTTAAAACTTATCATATAGTCTTAATTTGTTTGTATAAAATATGAAAAATTATTTACAATTATATTGATATCACAAATTACGTCGTAGAATAAAAGATATGTACAGAAAATTCATAGTATTGAAGAATTGGACAATGACATGTAGTAGATAAAAATGTACGACTTTCTATTTTCATGCATTAGATTTTTCAACTGCACATTGGGTTTTAAGACATAAGAGTATCCCAAGAAGCTCTTTAAACATAAGATATTTTCTAAATGATAGAATATACTATTTAAAATAGAGTCTTTTAGAGATACTCTAACGAGTCCAGAGATCAAGAAATAGAATTTCAATTACTTGTGGAATCTGGATCCTTTCATCGAGCACCATTTCTTTTAGATAGAAAGGTGTTCTCATTTCACCGCTCCACCGGAAATTCCCTCTGCCCCTACCGTACTCCAGCTTGGTAGTTTCCACCGCCTGTCCAGGGATGAAAACAGATAAAGAAACAAAATCGTCTGAAGTTTGGGTTGAAGTCAAGACTCTTTCTGTCACAACGGAAAAAACCTCATGCGGGATCCAGAGATTTCTCCGTTGAAGTGAAATTTCAAATCGGATCGGTTCCAGTTCTGATTCCTGGAATGGGCTTTAGCCATTTAATTCTCTTTTGATTCTCACTTCCTTGCGAGGTCGGAAAATTTTAATACAATGACGAAGATCTGGTCGAATGTTAGAAGAATCTAACAGCTAATTGGTTGCGAGACATACTATATTGAAGATCTTCCGTCAAATCTTTATCTGCGAGAGAATCCAATGTAGAGGAAGATTCTTCCCTTTTCTCCTCTTTTTTAATCATTGAGATTTCGAAGTAATGATCATGTAATGTGACATGAAATTATAAGATTAATTAAGCATTTGTTTTACAACCATTACTTGAAAATTATTTTTTCCTCGTACTCATTTTCAATCAAACTTTCGCAAAATAAAATATTATGCACATAAACCTAAAAATTTTTCCTACTTTTTAATCACACTGTCTCTTAAAAATGACTATTCAAAACATTATTTTCTCAAATAATGGTTGTCAAACAAGAGCTAAATATATCAATATAAGACTCAATTTATTAAGTTGATGAAATGTATGATTGAAAAGTTGTAGATCCCTTGAAATATGTTGTTTAATTAGATTTTAATTTTTACAAAATATGGACTAAAATTTTAAGTTTAACATTATTTTTCTTAGATTACTTTAAGATATTTAGCTGCCAAGAAATATAAATGTAATGATTAATTTATTTAAAAAAATGCAATTCAAATTACGAATAGATTTGAGAAAACAAGAAAGAAATTAGCAACAAAAATAACAATGTAAAATTGATGTTGATTAGCAATGGACTTAATCCATGGGTTATTTGAACCGACCAAAATTATTTATAATATCATTATTGAATCAATCAGTTAGTAATTCCCAATAGCAAAATTTGTTGTTAATCAGTTGGTAATTATCGACATATCTTACGTAAATTAGTGACTAGGCTTTCATAGTGAATTTACCAACTGAAAATTTTCATTGTAAAGCTTGTTACCAATGAAAATCGGAAAATGCCCTTTGTACAGAAAAATTTCCACATAACTTCTACAGAGTAGACACGTGGATTGGACCCCATGTGAATATTTTATTGAAATGGGCCCCACTATTGTGTCTATTCTGTAAAATCTCTGTATAACTTTTTTCTGTAAGTGTAGCATCTTCCATGAAAATCATGGCATTTTTCATCCTGATGCTGTATTTTTTATTTTTTCCATCAAATGTCCAACGCATACACAAATTTTAATAAACTGACGGTGATGGGATTGAACTAAGATCTTCCACCTCAGTCTAATACCGTGTTAACAATCTCATCCCAAAATTTAAACGAAAAGAGAAAATTCCATAAATTCATTTTATTTGTGTCAACAATAAAGTGATATAAATTATATAAGTAATTTGTATCGTGAATATGGTGAACATAAAAATTTATGGACTATGCTATGAGTACAAAATGAATTACAAAATCAATAAGTGGCGGCCGCCTATTGGAGACAGCCGCCCCTCCAATAGGGGGGCCGCCACTCGTTGATTTTGTACATGATTTAGTACAAGTAGAATAATCCAAAATTTATACCGTATACGTATGTAGCTGCAAAATTTTTAATGAGTCATGCAGTAAATTGTAGTGAATTACGTTACTCAAGTTTAAAGCTGTTCAAAGCCACCATCACGGACCACCGCCCCTTAAAACCTAAAAGATTAAAATCACAGACTTTCTCAAAGTCATACCTCTCTATTTATATGCATATACACAACTATCCATTTAACCAAAATTTCCAACTGCATATACTTTTCTCTCAATAATGGGAAATGTAATACCTCTTTGTTGTCAACCAGAATCAACTTCATCTGTGAAGCTAATATTTGATGAAGGTTCCACAAGAATTCTCACCGGAGAAATAATGTTCGAGTTCCCGGAATATATGGTTTGCCATGCGGACTCATTCTTTATAGGCCACCAAATCCCTGCACTCGCCATTGATGATGAGCTCATGAAAGGCCAAACCTACTTTGTTCTTCCAATTGCTTGCTTCACTCGCAATGTCCTATCGACTTCTTGTTTGGCTGCCTTGGGATCAAAGTACCCTAAACCTACTTCCATTAATTTTAAGGACTGTCCATTTGAATATTTGAAGGGTTCAAGCGGAAGGGTTTTGATCAAAGTCATGCCTGAATTCATCACCGAACTCATTACAAAAGAACAGGAAATTGGCAATGAATTGAATAATCCTGTAGGGAATAGCTTTTTATGCAGTACCCCGGAATTGCAGAAGCATTATAATCAATTGGTTGGGTGTAATAAAGATCATGTATGGTCACCCAATCTTGAGACAATTTCAGAGTACAAAATCAGATATTCTCCGTGCAGATTTATGGGGTTGGAGTGGAAGCAGAAAGAGACTGAAAGTTAATATTCTATGTGGAGTTCATTTATTTTTAGGGTTGAGATTTAATCTAGATTGAACATTATCATTCATGTTGTATATATAAATATTAATTTTCAGTAGTATCAATGATTTATATATTGCATTATAATTAATAATTCTTGTGATTTTTGATGTGAAAAATAAAAACTCTTTGATTATCGCATTTTAGGAAACGATACTCGTGGTTTCGAATGTTTCAAAAAACAAGAAAAAAAGAAAGAAAGCCTCTAATATTTTAATACCAATTTTAAACCACGATATGCCGTATATAAAAAGTGTTGATAGGTCGACGGAAATATTTATGGGGTGTGTACCCTTTTGAGGTGTCTGCCATCATCTTCAAGATTTTGCCAGTCAGGGTTGCGATCTTGAAAATCCAAAGGAATTGTTTGATCTTCGACATGCTTTCTTGAGAAACGTAGTTGAAAGGAATGGAGATTTTGCATACTCGTTAAGCAGGGCTATTTCCAGAGCAACATGCAATTCGATACTGTTAATGAGTATGTACGAGTGAATGGACTTTCCATGTCTGATAATGAGGAGGTTGGTACAGGCAGCAAGCAAACTAACCAAAGTAACCAAGTTTGGCATTCCACTACCTTCTTCGCCTCGTCGAACGCCATTCAAGCACTCAAAGGTCGACAGAATAAGACAATTGTCAAATAATGCATCACAAGAAAACAAAATGAAAAATGGCTTGTCAAACCAAAAAGAAAAGAAAGATAACAGGAAATGAGCTCAATAGTTCCAAAAAAAAAAAAAAAAACTGCAATCAAGCTCTTCAATTTATTATTTGATACTAATTATGGAAAGGCTTCACAAACATAGATCTTCTTCAAAAAACTATTATCCTGAAGCGACTTTGATATACATTTGTGCAAGGCTAGCCCTAAGAATTTTGAGGTCGTAGGAGATTCATTATTGTGTGACTCTTAAATGTAAATTTATTTCAAGCGTAAAGATTATTGAATATTTAAATAAATGACTTGTTTATATTTTAAACAAAAACTTGGCACAATCCAAAAGATAAGAGTAGCAAAAAAGTTGTCTCAGACATGAGACAACTAGAGCACATAATATTTAACAGAATTATTCCCTTGATGAAAAATAATTATCAGACTGTGAGTAATAATCTCTAGGAATTATTAATTGAGAAACTCGAGTAAAGTATAATTTAGAAAATTTTAGAAAGTTTATGGAGATTTTGAGAAAGTCTTAAGAAACATAATTTAAAATCTTGAGAATATTGTAGGAATGACTCGTAAGGAGAAGAGTGATAATGTGACGAGTTAAGATTATTTAGCGATGAGAAACATAACTAGAGTCTAAGGATTATAATTTGAGGATCTTTTAATAATTTTGAGATCTCGAGACATTAAAGTAAAAATAAGTTTCTAAATGTATTTAGACCAAATGAGTATTTATTGGAGAATTGGTACGAACTCATTTCGAAACTCATAATAAATAGCACATTATGGGCTCGAGAAAAAATTAACTTGGATAAATCAAATTGTAGTTATAACTCATAACAATGAAGTATTTAATGTGTAATATTAGTTTCCAAATTAAACCATATTATAGTAACGGCATTGGACTCATTTTGTAGCTGATAATTAAGCATCCATATCCTTAAAAGAAGTTCTTTTGAAGAAGCTCGAACTAGGATAGAATTGATAAAAAAAAAATTATCGTTAAAAGTCAGTTATTTAATTGGGCCTTCTACCATGAGCCATCTTTCAATTTGAGGCCACCTGGAATTAGAGGTTCTAGGCCATTGCCTAGTTGACCTTAGCCTAAGGCCGGTCCTGTCTGACGTGAACTCACATAGCAATAATAGCTCCGAAACTTATAAAAGATAAATCACAACCCCAAGAAATTTAAAATCTCGATTTGAAATTTGACCCAATAATTTAGTCCCATTTGGCCCCCATTTATTGAAATGAAAATGGGTGGAATAATATTTTTTTGAAAAATAAATTATTGAAAATGAAGGGAAATGTTTTGATTTACGCGTAATATTATTTTATAGAAGATTGTGTAGTTGAAAATAGGAGATAGAAAAATAAAATAAAATTTAATGGTAGCTAAACGGGGGCTTATTGAATCAAGGAATCAAAGTTATGGAAGAACTTGATCCCTTAATTACAAAAAGTATGAACTTTGTTATGAATTTGTTGAATACCACAAAGAATATGAATCTTTATTAAGTTCAAATAGTTTGAATGCCAAAAATATTGAAAATATTTGATAAGTTCTTTTCAATTAAAAACAAGATAGAAAAGGAAATTTCACCTATTAATTAATTCTCAAAAATTAATGTCTTCATTACATAATGAATCTGACTTTTATACACAAAATGAACTTCTAATCAAAATAAAACTCTAAGGGTCAGTTTGATTGCAAGAATGAAATTTGGGTGGAAAGAAAACGAATTCCAGGGAATTGAATTGCCTAGAACTTGTTTTCCTGAAAATTGTCAATTAAATGTATTTGATTGATATAATTTTTCAAGTAGAAAATTTTGAAATTTTCTATCTTTTTGTGTTCGTTTGACTTTATTTTTCATGAAAATTATCAATTAAAAGAACAAAATTTGCTATAATTGAGGATAGAATTTGTTCCAATTGCCAAAAAAAATGGAGGCCGGAGGAATTGGTTTTCCACCAAACCAAGGAAAATGCGCACGTGTGAGGAAAATAAGGAAAAAAAATTGCTTGAAAAATTATTGCTATCAAACGTGACAAAAGGTAGAAAATGGAACTTGTTGTCCATGGATAATCTACCCAATCAAACAAGCCCTAATTCTAAAGACAAATCCAAATAAATTAGAAAACTACAAAACAAATTTGAATAAACTTCAAATACTACAAATAACGAAAATACTCTTAAACTAGTTCAAAACATAAAAACGCAAAAACGAACCCCTAAACAATCAAATTTGACCCACAAAGTTTGACTTAGTCATCTGATAAACTCATGCAAAATATACAATTCGTATAGCAAAGGCTGAGGTGAGATGTCACCACCTCAGCCCTCACAGAGGCCTTTGACAAGCCCTTGTTTGAGTAGCAATGTACAAATTTTAGTTAAGTGAAAAATTGATGCGAAGTAGAAATATAAGACTCCGCAAGAGAAGGTTGTTTTATAACTATATTATTATCTTATATACATGGAAATTGATTTCATTCCCTTCAGAGGTGAATCAAAAATATAAAACTCGGATTAAAAGAACTGCAATTTGGTTCCATGTTCCCCCAAAAAAAGATTAAAAAAAAAAAAAAATTGCTTCGAAACGGATTGCTTTTGCGTGTTATGTAATGTAACAACAAAATTTTACAGTGTAGGTTTTTTAGTACAAGTAAATGAAATCTTCATGTCTTTAATATCTTAAACTTCTAAATAAAGTGCGATACGGTTAGGCGAGTCGATAAAACATGTTTGCACAATTTCATGTGCATGCCATTCCCTCAACGGACTCAAATCGCAACTCGCAAGTGCGTGTTTCCCACATATGCAAAAAGATGTAGGATCCACTTTTCATGCCGAAATAATTCCTCCCTTCTTGTCTCTAGTTTGCAGGCTAAACAACTCATTCATAATATTTTTCACGCTCCCGACCCATTGCTCAGCTGAAGGGTCATTTTTATGTTCATGGCTGCCAATTCTGCAGCTAGATATCTGAAGACGTAAGGCATAGCTACGGTCTCCATTCCTTTACTACTCTGACAGGCAACACATGTAACCTTTTTGGGGGCCCTACCAGGAGGTAGATCGCCAATCATCTCTCTAACTGCTCGTTTTTGCGACTGGATGATTGATGTCGTCAAGATGCTTCCACAGAGGGAGCAAACATCGGCAATGTGATGATCTGAACTCGTATGAAGTCTATCGTGTAATAAATATGCTGCCCCGTGAGCCAGAAGGGAATCTCGTTCCATTTCTCCAAAACGGATACCCCCACCGCGTTTTCTTCCTTTAATAGGCTGCCGAGTAACCTGATCCACAGTTCCTGTAGAACGAACCTGCCGACAAGAATAATTTTCAATTCAATACTATCGTCCAGCTAATGGGATAACGTTGACCAACAGAAGAAAAATTTTTGAAAGCAACCAGACTGTTTTAGAGGAGCAGATAAACTTGCATACCCAAAATCGATGTGAAGGGGAAAAACACACTTTCACAAAATTTTACAAAGAAATCGCACCTGAAATTTATCTGAAACCATATGCCGTAATCGCTGGTAATAGACAGGCCCGATAAATATTTCACACGTCAGTTCCGTTCCATATACTCCACTGTAGAGTACTTCTACGCCGTGATAATTAAATCCACGGGCAATCAACAAGGAACCAAGTTCATCAACAAGTGAAGTGGTTTCATTTTCAGACCCCCCTGTATTCTTCTTTATTGAGCTAGAAAATGGTGTTGCGTCCACAAAATTTCCATGTAAGGCGCCTCCCTACAATCACAAAGATAAATAATATAAAAAAAATTCAAAATTGGAGCTCTTCAAAATTTCGATCATTCATGTTATCCATCAACAGACTCTTCAGCTGGTTCCCAAAAATTTAGTAGCAGATGAATTGTTCAAAACCAAGGCAGGTTTACCGGTTCAATCCAATTTACTTGCATTTCGAATAATCTGGGGCAGGCAAGGTTTAACGGCTATAATCTGATGTTTCATACTCGATTTTAACATTTTCTGCACCATATATGTTCTGAGCAGTCAAACTTGTGAGTTCACCAATAAAGACCATAGCAATCAAAGAAGTGAAAAAGAGACTCATTTTTACTAAAGATGACGTTACTTCTATCAATATGCCATTTAGTATGAGATGATGTCATCAAGAGTATAAGCAACCGTTTGTTTCCCATTCTTTCTTCATTAAAATGAAAAAAATATGACCGTTATCCATCACATCAAGCTACCAAATTTGAATCTCTCTCTCTTATGTGGGGCCCATAACGGCTATATTTTTCATTCTCATTTTTACAAAAATAGGAAACAAACGCCCCCTAAAAGAGAACAATAAAACCAGATCAACAAACATTAATCAGATAAAGTCATCCTTCAGAAGAAGGCAATCGGTTAGATTATGAAAAAGTAATAGAACCGCTTAATAGTAATACCTTAGCAGCAATTGATTCCAAAAGCATTGCAATTGTCATTCTAGAAGGGAATGCATGTGGATTGATAATAAGATCTGGTCGCATTCCTGTAACTCCAGAAAATGGCATATCCACATCTGGCCACAGCTGAGAGCACACACCCTTTTGCCCATGCCTGCTGCTAAATTTATCCCCAATTATAGGATTTCTAGTACGTCGAAGGCGTATGTTTGCCTGCACAAAGAGCAATCACGATGACATCACATATGATAAATGTGTGAACTAAAATAGCGTATGGTCTTCTCTTTGATACTGCAGTACGAGACATTTTAATTTTATAGAAAGATTCTACAATTAGAACTTGAACCAAAAATCATGGCACTTTACTATCCATATTTCTCCAACCTAACAGCACAGCTTCGCAAATACATCTCCCAAGAAGGCCATACACTGTGTTGGTTTGGATTTACTTATAAGTTGCTGAAATTATAATATGCAAGATGTGGTTAAGACTAAACTCTGACTTTGACCTTTAAATTATAAGTTAATCCAAAAAAGCACTAAGAGGGTGTTTGACACCCATTTTTACGGAAAAAAATGAATTTTAGAATAGTAGATTGATGGAGAATGTGTGGATGAAAAATAACGAAAAGTTTTTGATTTACGTGTAATATTACTTTAATAAAGAACGTGTGGTTAAAAAGAAGAGAGAAAATGTATTTTGATAAAAATGAGAATCAAACGGAGCATAAATATGGTAATTCATATAGAATCTTCAATATGAAAATGACTATTTGCTAGAAACAAAAAAGAGAGGAGATTGGTAAAATCTTGACAAGGATGCTGTTGGGTGGAAAGTAGGAGAGAAGTCTAAGCAAAAGTAAAAGGTACAAATAAGCTTGTTCAGTGGAGTTGACAGCTCACCTTCTGTAGATGCTTTTTGTTTTTAACATCAACAGCAACATAATCAACGACAACGGGCTCTGAACCTTTTAACTTGATATTTGTTACTTTGCTTGTTACCTCATCATAGATGCTATAAAAAGGATCGTTTGGGTTTATCCTCTGGAAAAGGTCAAAAACTTAGTAGACATCATTCTAACTTGAAATATATAACACACACAAAAGAAAATTTACCTGCCCAACATAGGGGAGCCCATCAATATCGATGAACTGATGAGATGATTTGTCCAGATTACTTCTCCCAAATGTTCTCTGAGAACGATCTGCCTTGATGCCTTGTTCATTCAAGTCAATTGTTTCCGTCTGTAGATTAGAAAGGCCATACATGCTATGAACATTTATATTCACATACATAAAAATTAAAAATCAACATCCACACTGGACAGCCCAAGAAAAATCGTGATTTAAAAAAAAAAAAAAATTTATTTCATGAACAAGATGTTTTAAATTTCCAACTCAGCAATCTGAGATGCTAACAAGCCGTTTACTTTTCGTCCTCTCCATAAATAAGAGCAGCTGTAGCTGAAATAGCCATCTAAACAATATCTACTCCTGTTAGATTACTTCACCTGAGATAAAGTAATTCTATGCTGCACTTTAAAATGACCCCCCCTATTTAAGCTGAAAACTAAGCATCCGTTTGGGAAGAATGCATAGTTGGTTTAATTTATAAATCGATATATATGAGTGATATATAAGTGGATAGTACTTGCGGATCCATTGGAATGTGTGGTTGAAAATGAAGTTTGAAAATTTATAAATGATTTAATTAGCCAAACAGAGGCTAAACATTTCCTTTTATTTGTTTTAATGCACATCTTTTTCAGTAGCAACAACAAAATAGAGTTCATCAGCTTCAAAGGCAGAGGCCCACAAAATATATTCAGAATATCAAGAATTGAAATGTCAATTGAGTAACTAAAAAGAGGACACAACATGCAGCAATGGATGGATTGTTGATCCAAAACATTAACATAAGCAGAAATTTAAAATTTGAAAACAGTTGGATTTGGACAAGTTTTAGTACTTTAGAGTTAAATGGATAGGACATTAGGTTTTAGAGCAAGGGTATATTTTTTATTTTTTATTTTGATAGATAATCAGATAATTTTATTACTTAAAAGAGAATACACGAGGAGTGTACAATCACTTTAAGCCAGTAAGGAACTACATAAAATTAGGCAACCTGTCTACAGGATCTTTAGCAACAACATTAAACCAAGGGTACATTTGTCTTTTATCATTTGCAAGACATCGATTTCAAAGCAGTAATTTAACATAATACCACTTTTCTTAGGAGCTTGAGCATAGGATTTATCTTAGAATAATGAGTCAAAAGCTTCTCATATAGGTCCTAGTCCCTTTCTTAGAAGAAGCCATCTAGGTCTATAGGTAGTAATGTATTTCCTATCTCACCAAAGGTATCTTTATTGACAATTGGTAATCTCTTTGTTGATTAAACCATAGCTGGAGTAATACAGACCGACCTCATTGTTTTGAGTAATGCTATTTAATTAAAACCATTCAAAAGTACAAAACGAACAGTGCATGTGTTTGATCCATAGTATTCCATAAGATTGGATAGTCTAATAAATAAGATTAAGCCCTTGTTTGATCCCCATTATTTCCAAAATACATTTTTTCTCCTCTTTTCAACCACACATTTTTTAATAAAATAATATTACACGCAAATCAAAAACTTTTTCCTATTTTTTAACCACACATTCTCCATCAATCTACTATTCCAAAATGCATTTTTCAATAAAAAGGGGCTCAAACATGCTCTAAAATTTTTTTATTATGTTTCTCTACTAAAAATGATATAAGAGTATTATCTTAATACTTTTTCTTTAATAATCCAAAAGAAAACGTTTGCCATGAAGTTGTATTTCATTCAAAAGAAATTCACATTCTTATGATAGGAAATTTAGGCATTAGACAGACCTGGTATATGTAGCCATGACACATGCCACGGTCCACAGATGATTTATTTAGTACCATGGCATCCTCCATATCATATCTGCATAATTTAAAGAATATATATAAAGACACATAAAAACCTAGAAAAATAACAGGATACAGAACATGTTTTGGATTATTACCCTGAATATGCTAGAACAGCAACAATTGCATTTGTTCCCAACGGATAGTCATCAATGTTGTATTTTTCATATGCCTTAGTGCGTACAATAGGGGTTTGCGGAGTCTGTAAACACCCAAATCAGCAGTAAAGAGAAACAGTATTGAAAAAGAACAAGGACAGTCAACAATATGAATTACCAAATAAATAACTCAGTGGATCTCCTTCAGGAGAAAATAACTTCAGCAGATAAAATGAAATCTGAATATACTTCAGGGAAATGTCATCTAATTTGACTAATTACATGACATATTACCATCGTTCATAACAGAACCCTTCAATTAAAAATGTAGAAGAAAAAAGAAAGAAAGAAAGAAAGAAAGAAAGAAAGAAAGGAAAAAATAAAGTTGGGAAAAACTTGATTTCATGTAAGCTTACAGGACAAAGCTCTAGATCGAATGCAATTAAGGAAAAGGATTCATCTAGCAAAACCTAAGTTCAACAGCACATTTCTTGTTCATTGTTGTCATGGCATACAATCATAGCATAGCTGGTTTTCAATTCATGGATTAAATATAGAAAAAAGAACCACTTTTTGCTAATATAACACTCAGTAACTAATACCAAACGTGACTACAAAGAGAGAATTTATCGTAAAGAAAGAGAACAGTTACGATTGAGATAATTGAAGAGCACTGAGATCAGTAACCCAATATCACTTCTGATGGTGGGGAACAATCAATATGAAAGGATTAAGAAAAAAACATTGCAGTTAAAAACATCTTTTCAAACCATTAATCAACCCTACTGTCAGAGGATCTAGTTACCTCAAGGGTGATAGAGCATGATGCGACACCTTTGACAACAAAGGTTGCGAATACATATAATAGAAGGAACTCTAAGTCAATGAAGGTAAGTGACTTGGGGACGAAAAAAGCACTTGTGTTGTGGGTAGATGGAGCCAAGAAGGGAGAAATAGAAAGTGATGTTATACAGGAGGAGGAAACAGGGGATTCGATTGGATTCGAAGCTGGACACCCACCTTCGAACTGGGTTCTACAGAAAATTCAGGATTTCAGTAAGTTAATGGGCGTGTCTTGTGATGGTTATGAAAACAGATTATTACAATTATTTGAGGATTTGGAGGCCAATAGGGGGCAGGAGATGAGTAAACAAGAAGGAAAACTAAGAAGAAAGGGCGATCGTGAACTTAAGAGACTCGAATGGTCAGTTAATTATGATGGCAAGGGTGGTGAGTCCAAGAATGGAGTATTGGGGAGGGATGCCGGACTGTTAAAATGATACCACGAATCATTAGCTAGAATGTAAGGGGACTTAATGAAGTTGGGAAATGATGGGCGTTCGATATCTGCTAAGGGGTTGGGGAGCGGATCTTGTATGCCTACAAGAAACCAAGATGGAGTTCATCTCGAGGGCGGTGGTCAGTAGCTTATGGGGGGGACAGCATGTAGGGTATCAGTTTATGAGATCATCAGGGGTTTCTGGAGGCATATTAGTCATGTGGGACACCAGAGTGCTTGAGATGGAGAGGGTGAGTGTAGGATTGTTCTCAATATCGATGTCGTTCAGAAACACTGGGGATGGATTTCAGTGGATGTTCATAGGTGTTTATGGGCCTAATACTGATGACAGTAAACGGGGCTTGTGGGATGAACTGGCTGGAATGATGGCTTGGTGGAATCTACCAACGTGTATAGGAGGTGACTTTAATGTGGTTCGATTTCCTATTGAGAGGTCGAGTGGTGGGAGACTCACGGGGGCTATGGAGGAGTTTTCAGACTTTATGATTGGAGGAGATTTTACCTGGTCTTCTAATCGGGACAAACCGATTCTTTCTCGTATAGACAGGTTCTTGATATGCGGAGAGTGGGAGGCTAAGTATTCAGATGTCATTCAGAGAAGATTGGGGAGAGTGTACTCTGATCATTTCCCCATTATGTTAACTGGGAACAGGACGGGTGGAGGACGAAGGCCTTTTAGGTTCGAGAAAATGTGGTTGAAAGTCGAAGGTTTTAGGGAGCAAGTACAGACTTGGTGAACATCTTACGATGTTAGAGGGTCTCCTAGTTTTGTGTTGGATCAGAAGTTGAAGCTTTGAAAAGGGATTTAAAGAAATGGAATGAGGAGGTTGTGGGCAATGTGAACTGTCGTAAAATTCAGTGCCTTTCGGAGATAGATGAGTTAGATAGGTGGGAGGAGAGTCGATGGTTGGCTGGGGAGGAGAAGGATAAACGTAGACATTAAGGGAAGAACTAGAGAGGTTGGTGGAGATGGAGGAGATTGCCTGGCGTCAGAAATCTAGGGTCAATTGGTTGAAAGGAGATAAATGTACTAAGTTTTTTCACAGGATCGCAAATTCTAATAGGCATAAAAATTCTATCACGGTGTTGGAAGTGCATGGGATAACTTATGAAGAACCACTCGAAATTGGAAGCCAACTGGTGAATTTCTATCAGAATCTATATCGAGAGCAGTTTGAGTGGAGGCCAGAGTTGGAAGGATTGGATTTTTCTACTATCACGGAGGATGATGCAGATTGGTTAGAGCGACCTTTTGAGGAGGATGAAATCAAGGAGGTAGTGTTTAGCATGAACGAGGATAAGGCCCCTAGACCAGATGGTTTCTCGTTCTCATTTTACAAGGCTTATTGGGAGATGGTGCGATCGGAAAT